CCCCCCACCCCAACCTCCCTGCCTCCTCCTTCCCTCACTCCCTCAGCACCCCACCACCACTGCTGGTTGCCCGCCATGTTCCACGCTGCCCCCTGGTGGTCAGTGCATGTCATAACAAGTGATCGAACTGTTCTCCCTGTTGAATTCCCAAGGGGACACTTTGCATATTAACCTTTAATATATATAGATTGCTTTATAATGGTTGTCTCTCTCATACATGAATTCTTCCACTGACAATTTATTCACCAAATATCTATTAAACGTCTGGGTGCTAGTCACTTAGAGCATTGGAACATGAGCTTATTGCAAGCAGAAGCATTATCTTACACATCTTAGTATTTGTTGGTGCTTATACAAAGTCTGACACGTAGTAAATATTAAAAGAATATTTGGTGCATAATTGAATGGATAAATATTTGATAGCAGGAGCATTTTACATCAACAGATGAATTTCAAGTAATCAATTACTTGGTAAGAAACTCAAATATGGGGGGGAAGCATACATTATAGAACATACAGATGTTTTTTTAAAAATTCGTTTAGTTGCATATTGATATAGTATGACAATTTTACTGAGTGAGGGATAAACTTCAAGAAGAGACAAAATAGTTAAGCTACTTAGGAAAAATATCAGATACCTTATAGCACTTGGCACTGTGCAAAGCACTTATATTCATTCCCTCCCTTTAAAGCATATTGTTGAATGAATGTTGAATGGAAATAGATATTAAAATGCCTACAATTCCTCCATTTTCCTCAAAAGCCTAAAGCAATGAAGAACTGAATGTGAAAAGCTAATATAGTAATGGCAGCCAAATGAGGTTTGTTTTGAAGTTAGATGAGATCAAATGAATCTGAAAAGATTCCTGATGTTAGGTTCAGAATACTTAGCATCATTGTTTAATTGCATCAAAACAGATAGAATACAGGTAGTAACATATCTGTTGCCATATGCCCTGTGTTCAAAGAAGGACATGAGAGAAAATAGCTGAGAAATTAGCTGAGAAATCCCAGTAACTCAGGCAAATAAATGTATGCCCTACTCCATGAATGTTTTTTTTTTCTAAAAATTAGTAATGCCTTAGAAACCACCTTTTAAAGAAAAAAATGTTAACTACTTTTCCAGTTGGCCAAGTTACTTAAGCTCTCTAAGCTTCAGTTATTTTAAAAATGGGATAATAATAATACCTACATAGATTATTGTATAGTAATAAATAATTTCATAAACTCATGTTAGTGCCTGACACATAGTAGGCTCACCGTCAGTATCAACTAATATTAAACATTAGCAGTATTTAATATTTATAGTTTATAATAGATTATTAATTTATATATTAAGTATTTTATAACTACCCTATGAATTAGTTATAAAACGATGAAGTAGTTTCTATTATTTTTCCCATTTCATAGGTGAGGAAGCTGAGGCATAAAGAGATTAAATGACTTGCCCGCCTGGCCCTGATAACCCACTTATGGCAATTATGCTATTGTCTCTCACATGACAGTCTTTGGAAATTTGCACTAAAACTATTTTTTAGTTTAAAGAAATCCTAAATTAGGGAATCAGCTGAACTGCCAGAGGACACTGAGTGAAAAAAATCTTGGAGACTATTCAACTGCTGGCCAGGCTCCTCTCCTGTAAAATTAGGTCATTTCCTAAAAGAGAAGAGGGAGGGGGAGAGAGAATGAAAAACAATAGGAAGACTCAGAGTCAGAAAAAGAGACAACAGAGAGTGCAGGAGCATGAAAGAGGCAGTGGGTGATATGCTGAAGGGGAGGTGAGACTTGGGAGCAGAATGAGAGAGAATGTTCACCTTTTTTGAAGAAAGGTAACCAAAGAGCTTCCAAAAGAAAAACTAGAGAACTTGCTCTGGAGATATTAACAAGTAGCCTGAATGTAACCACTGTGTATAACATTATATTTGTATTACAAAAGTTATAGTTGGCTATAACTATCATTGATAAAAAAGGAACAAGTCTGAATCAATACCTGATACGGCATCTGGATCTTTTCCATGCAAAAGCTTCCTCAGTTTCTTACTAACCAGGTCCAATAAAGTAACTGGTGTCTGCATAAAAAGGGATTTTAAAATATTTAATACTAATGGCCTGGTGCACAAAATTCATGCACTCGGGGTGTGTGTGGGTGTCCCCCAGCCTGGCCTGTGCCCTGTCACAGTATGGGAGCCCGTGATCCATTGCCCCAAAGAGGTAGGCCCCACCCACCCATCTGGGGCTCCTCGATGGATTGTCCCAAAAAGGTAGGCCGGAGCCTGGGGAGGCCTGTGGATCCCCGGACGGGGCCATGGCATAGGGGCCTCTCTTCGCACCTGTGGACCCCTGGCCCTGCCCCCAGGTCGGGCCCATGGTGGAGGGGCCTCTCTGCGCACATATGGACCCTTGGCCGGGGCCGCAGTGGAGATGCCTCTCTGCCATGGCCCCAACCTTGTCCCTGATGCTGCAAGTCCCTGCCCACCCGCTCCTGCTGCACATGCAGTCTGCTGACTGGTCGTTATTGTGATGGAGTCCCGACCAATTTGCATGTTACCCTATTATTAGTATAGATGATTTTTTTTTCCTATCCAGAAACATAGATAAAAAACGTAATGGTTTTGACCACTGAGTCGGGGAAAACATTCCAACTGGGGAAAAGGGATGGGCAGCAGACCTCTGAATTATAAAAAGTATGAATTCTTGAAATTTTTTTAGAATTCTTACAATTGTCTACTTTCATGTGTGAACTGCATCTGAAACTACGTTAAGCAGTCATTAATGTAATGTTCTATAAAAAATTATGGTTCTAAAGTAGCCCAGATCTAAATAATTTTACATTATAATTACATGGTAAGTATGCAAATAGTAGCTCTAAAATACATGAAAACATCATTATCTTAAAATGGATAAATGCTCCTTTTCCAGGTTTTGGTTACACAAAGGTAGTCCCAGACTACAAATGTATCCCTCAGCTAATATTGCTACAGAAGGCATCCCTACACCTACCAATGCTGAACCTCCTGTCTACACAGCTTCTTCATCCTGCACCCCAGGCTGCCTTTACATTAGCTTCTATACTCTTGCCAATTTCAAGTCATGAAGCTGTCTCCATTAATTCATTCTGTCATTCTGTAAAAATTTAGTGAGTGATTGCCATGTCCTAGGTGACAAACAGACCAAGTTTCTGAACTCTTGGAGCTTACATTCTCATTGAAGAGAAAGACAATTAAAAAAACACCCTGCAAATAAATAAGTAAACAAAACCACACAAAAAATAAAAAATCAGCAAATACATCATCTATTTTCAAGTAGTGTGAGTGCCATTGAGTAAGCATGAAGCAGGGTAACAAGCTAGAATGAAGACAATGGGTAGCCATTCTACTTGAGAAGGGATTCTGCTGAGAGTAACATTGTAAGCAGAGGCCTGAACAGATGGGAAGGAGTGAGCCTTAAGAAGATTTGGGAGAAAAATGTTCCAGACAGATAGTAGACAGCATAGAAAAAGCTCCGTAACAGGAAAAGCTTGGCACGTTTGAGAGCCTCCATTATAAATGCTGCCATCTCAGCCTCCCTGAAATACCTCCTGCCCTAATCTCCAGAAACCAGTCATGAGAGGGCTTCTCCCCGCTTCCTGAATCCCCCATTCACACTTCCTTCAGCCCATGTCAATTCCTTTTCTCCTTTGTGGCCTGTTGCAAAATTTAAGCCAGTATGTTTCATTATAACACTGCTCACTCTGACATGAAGGGAAGGTCATAAAATGACAAAATCCTTCTAATTTCTTGCCTGTATGTAGGAAAGAGAATTCATTTACCCAGAGGAGGAGGCAGGAGGAGAAAAAAGAAAGTGGAGAGGCTAAGTGCTAAGGAAGAGGGAGAGGAAATGTTATTTCTAATTTCCTAGTTGAAATCTGGGACTCAATTTACAAGTAAACTATAGACATGAGTTTTGATTTAGTGACTGTAGAATTAAACATTTATGTAACCTGGGCTCCCCAACCTTCATTTATCATATATATATATCTGAAATATATAATATTTTTATTGATTTCAGAGAGGATGAGACAGGGAGAGAGAGAAACATCAACGATGACAGAATCATTGATCCACTGCCTCCTGCACACGCCCTATTGGGAATCAGAACCTGGGCATATGCACTGACCGGAATTAAACATGATCTCCTGCCGAAACCGGTTTGGCTTAGTGGGTAGAGCGTCGGCCTGCGGACTGAAAGGTCCCAGGTTCTCTGTAAAAAATGAATAAAATATATATATATATATATAAAAATTTAAACATGATCTCCTGGTTCATAGGTCAACACTCAACCCCTGAGCCACACCAGCCAGGCCATTTATTATATATTAGAGGCCCAGTGCATGACATTCATGCACTGGGGTGGGGTGGGGGTGGTCCCTCAGCCCAGCCTGCACCCTCTTGTAGGGGAATGGGCCTAAGCCAGCTGGAAGACATCCCCTGAGGCGTCCTTAGTGCTGCGATGGAGGTGGGAGAGGCTACTACCACTGCCGCTGCAGTGCTGAGCTCACTAGCCATGAGCCCAGCTCAGCTTTCTGGCTGAGCGGCGCTCCCCGTGGGAGAGCACTGACCACCAAGGGGCAGCTCCTGTGTTGAGCGTCTGCCCCCTGGTAGTCAGTGTGTATCATAGCGACCCGTCATTCCACTGTTTGGTCGATTTGCAAATTAGCCTTTTATTATACGGGATTTTGATAAAAACAAAAACAACTATGTATAGAACGTAACAACTGACTTACAAATGAGTTTCCAGGATATATTTCATTCAAAATTCATAATATGGGGACTGCCTCTTGTATATTCTAATTACCACCTTTTTCTCTGAAATAATGGAAAAGAAACTTCAGTTAAGGTTGACAGAACTACAAAATTTGAACCAATGTTTATTTCTTATGACATGAGACAAATTTTTTAAGCAAAAAAAAAAAAAAGGGGAAGGAAACAATTTTTTTGTACAGGCTTTGGAGAAATACCACTAAAAGTACCACTCTCAGTGTTAAAATATAGTAACGAGGCTAAAAAACAATCATTTAATCATTTTCTTAATATATTTTGTAAATCTGACCACATTTTACTAATTCTATTGCTACCCCTCTGTTTCAAGTCACTATATCTCTTGCCTAGATTATTACAACAGCCTCCTAAAGGTGTTCCTGCTTTTGCCCTTGCCCCTCAACAATCTATTCTCAACACAAAAGACACATCTATCTTTATAAATGTCAGTTTTATCAGGCCACTGTTTTGCTCAAACCCTCCAGTGATTCCCCATTTTATTCCAAGGAGGAGCCAAGTCTCTCCGATGGCCTACAAGGGCCCCCACATCTCTGACCTCATCTCATACTACCTTCCATTCTGCTCACCACTTCAGCACTCAAAAATGGGTTGGGTCACCCCCAGGGCCTCTGCTCTAGGACCCAATTTCTCTCCCCACAACCATGAGTCCCACCCCCACAGTCATTTGGTTGACTCTCTTTCAGTCTTTGCTGAAATTTTACTCTCATTGAGCCCAATCTTGGCCATCCTGTTTAATACTGTAAATTCCCAGTCATCCCTACTCTGGCACCCATAAATCCTCTGAACCTGCTCTTCTTCTATTGCATTTATTGCCCGCTATCATACTATATGAATTGACTTGATGATTGTGTGTATTATTTTATTGTCTGTCATGCTCACCTGGATATAAGCTCCTCAAGGATCTACATCCTTGTGTTTTGCTTGCTGATGTATTCTAAATGCCTAAATAAAACCGTGCCTGGCACATAGTAATGCACCAGAAATGGGTTGAAGGATTTAATATATTTTCAAATATTGATATTAAGTCTGCTTCCTTCTCTTTAGTGGGTAGGGGAAGACAGCATTCCTTCAAACTTTGCACAATACAGGCACTAATAGATTATTTATTAAGTGAATTACTTGCCTTTTTGCTGAACAAGAATAGCTTGGCACTAAATGTGCCCAGGCAAAATGCCAGAGATACCTTGAAGAGCTCAGAGTGATATTCCAGTAGAAACCAGATGAGTTGTTCTGCCTGTACTTTTGATAATGATTTGGTTTGAAAAACTGCTTTGGCAAGAGTTTTCAGGACAACCGTTTTGTCATCATACTGTAAACAGAAAGATTACGTTAGCTTGAATAGTTTTTCTTTTCTTTTTATTGAATTTATTGGGATGACATTGGTTAACAAAGTTATACATGTTTCAGGCGCACAATTCCACAACATATCATCTGTACACTGTTCTGTGTTTACCACCCAGTCAAGTCTCCATCGCCTCCATCCATGACCATTTATCTCTCCTTTACCTTCCCCCATCACCTCTCTCCCTTCTCCCCGCAGCAATCACCACATTGTTGTCTGTCTGAACAGTTTTTAATAATAATAGCCCAAGATTGTTATTGTAATATTTTGTTGCCTGTTTTTGTAACTTGTAGGCATTAGGCTCTGATGCAATAGCCATAAAAGTAAGTAGCCGTCCTAATTCTTCTCTAATGTTGGGCAATAACAATCTTAGAGTTGTGTTACCTCCAGTGCTTCTGTTCTTTTCTCATTTTCTGTTACATGGATTACCAAGATGACAAGGCATGGGACAAAAAAATGGAGATTATAGAACTTAGTAGCCAATTAAAATGCTATGATGCTGTATTTGGCTTGTGGATTCTTTCTTTTACCACTTAGAAGTTTTTGTTATGAAATATTTAAAACACACAGGAAATTATCTATATAATTCTATATATGCCAAACACCTGTGTAATTACATCTACCATTATCAAACAGTATTTTGTTTTCAACATGGAATTATATGGCCACTTATATAGCTAAAAAAGTTGTGATACTATATCACTCAATTTTTATTTTGCTAAAAGGTCACTAAATACTAGTTTTCTAATCCTGTATTATATCAAAATATGTTTCTTAGAATGTCCCTGTGATGTAATTACCTTTGATATAATGTTCTACAGTTAGTTATATTGGATGGTACAATTTACATGGCAGGCAACATTAGTGAAGTGAAAAAAGACTCCATGCAGTACCCTGACACCATAGAAGAAATTATTAAAATGTTACACTCATATAATATATAACATTTCTTCAATTTGTACCTTTAAAAAGTTTTATTATGCTAGCCACTCGCAAAAGACCGTGAGCCTAAGCTCCAATCAAGAGTAAGGGACAGGTCACATGTGTCAGGATTAAAAAGCCAAGTGGATTGCCCACTCAGCGTGTGGGTGCTCCCAGACCATGTGCGTAGGCACCCACCTGCAAGAGTAGAGATATTTGCCTTGCTGAAAAAAAAGTTTTATTAAGCAAAAAATTAAAGTTTAAACATCATTTCTTACCTAAAAGTTCAATAATTCCTGAATGAATATCAAAATACTCATCAGTTAACAGGCAATATCTCTCTTGATTATTATATTTCACTATGACATCAAAGAGTATCTTTTTCTGTTTATTCAGTCTTGTCTCTTCATTTGTTTTGCACGAACTGCTGACTAACTGAAATGACGAACTGGTCAGGGAAATACTCCACACATTCAATTGCTGCATTAAGGCAGTTGTCAATCCTGAAGGAAAAATACAAAAGAAAATAAATCAATGGTTAACATTTCCATTTAATAACCTAAAGCACTGTTTGATAAAACATCATCATACTTATTTTATATTTAACTAAATCTAAGGAAGAAACTATTTTTCAGAGAATCATTTCAATAAACTTTGCAGGATGAATGAAGGAGAGAATAAGAGGGAATAGCTTGTTTCCTCACCAAATACCACCATACCTTTCTATACCTTTTGCTGGGGTCCGACCCCAGCGGGTCCAGGGGTTCCCCATAGGTGTGGACAGAGTCGGCGAAGAAGGAATGACACGGAGACAGCGTTCAGTTGATCAGCAGCCTAGGCAGGATCTCTAGCCAAGTTCTAGTCAGAATCTCCAGCGAAGTTCTGGTTAGGATCTCCAGCCAGGTTCTGTGGCCATGTTCTCTTGCTAGGTTCTCCAGGCAGGTTCAGTCGCCAGGTTCTGTCCAGGTTCTCTAGCCACGTTCTCTTGCTAGGTTCTTCAGCCAGGTTCTGTAGCCAGCATCTCCAGCCAAGTTCTGTCTAGGTCTTCTAGCCAAGTTCTGGTTCGGTTCTCTCACTAGGTTCTGTCTCTATAAGAGGTTTTATTCCCTCCCTAACTTCAGGGGAAAATCCCTACCTGGGGAAACAATGTTTCTCGGAGAGGTGACCTTGGACCGGCTCCCGGCAACCTTTATTTTCTTTCTTCTTTTTTTAGACAAAAAATTCTTAAATTGATTTCAGAGAGAGGAAGGGAGAGGGAGTGAGGGATAGGAACATCAACGATGAGAGAGAATCACTGATTGGCTGCCCCTGCCTCCTGCACAACTCCTACTGGGGATTGAGCCTGAAACCTGAGTATGTGCCCTGACCAGGAATTCAACTTTGACCTCGTGGTTCATGGGTTGTTGATGCTCAAGCACTGAGCCACAACAGCCAGACATTTATACCTTTATTTTCAAGGAGTCAAAATATTTTTGGCTACCTTTTCATTATTTATTTCTAACTTCATGAATTCATCTGTACTGCTCCATTTCATCAGTAGTTTCCCTCCGTTTTCCCACTAAAATAATTAGATGCATTTGGTTGTAATATTATTATTTGAAAATAATACTAAATATTTCCCCATACAAGATGCACTGTTTATCCTACCACACACTGTCTTTCCTTTCTTCTCTCTCGACCCCAACATGACAAGAAATGTAGGATGCTTCCACCCCTTCCTTCCTACAATGATGCCTTTGAAAGGCCTTTAATTCCCCCTTAACCTCATCTGCCATCTTATCAACCCCCAAGTTATTATAAGTTCCCTTAATACTATGTCCTTGTTTTGACTTCTTACTTAGTGCTTATATCTTAAACATTCCCACATAGTGTTAGATACCAATTTGGAATTTGTGTGTGTGTGTGTGTGTGTGTATGTGTGTGTACAAAATGAGAGAAAATAGCACAGATCAAAGTTCAAAGCCATAACAGTGTTTCTTGGCTATTTTCTTTGCATGAGGTTCCTAAGAAATATATTCTATGAAATCTTTTTTTAAAAAATATATTTTTATTGATTTCAGAGAGGAAGGGAGATGGGGAGAGAGAGAGAGAAAGATCAACGGTGAGAGAGAATCATTGATCAGCTGCCTCCTGCATGCCCCCTACTGGGGATCGAGCCTGCAACCTAGGCATGTGCCCTTGACCAGAATCAAACCGGGACCCTTCAGTCTTCAGGCTGACGCTCTATCTGCTGAGCCAGATTGTAGGGCCTCTATGAATTCTTGATAATCCTCAAGAATCTTTCCTTCATCCCTCTTTCCTTTATCCTTCCATCTTTCCTTCCTTCTCTTTATTTCCCCAACAGTATATTACATAAAAATAGTATAAAAGCATATGTATTATTTAAAGTATTTGGGAGACAGAGGTAAGGAAGAGGCCTAAAACCCTAATTTCCTCTGTGGAAAAATGAACAATCATTTCAGTACCCAAAACTGAAAAATCATGACATAGCAATAAAAGCATGTTATTTAGAGATATGGAAAATATGTTGTAAAGGGTTGTCATGGAAAGGGCAATAGGTGGGGAGAAGGGTAGGGAACTGCTATTTTTTGGTAACAAAACCTATAGGATTCTTTGAATGTTTTACATTACATGCATATATAACACATATAAAAAATAAAACATTTAACAAAATGTACATAAGAATACCAGCTTTCCTTCCCTACTGTGTCTTATTTACTTATCCCTCCAAGTCTGTTACCCCATTGTTATAGGCAACAAATATAAAATGTATAACAAATTGCTTAGCACAGAGAAAGGTCCAACAAGTGGAAATTATTTTTATCAGCATCTTTATGGATTAATTACATCCATTTTTAGTTAGGAATTTCTAGAGGTACCCCGTGTCCTCAAGGGCAATAGATGGGACAAGTTATTTGTTCATTTGTAATAGATAAAAACTATAGTTCTGTTGGCTCCTCCTCTTCTGCCTATCCTCTAAATATTAGTCTTCCTCAGATTTCTCCTAGTGCCTCTTCTCTTCTCACTCTTGACATGCTTGCTTTACACCCCTTTGCAAGAAGCTGCCCATTGTCTTCACTAGCAGAGAAGTGCAAACAAGGATCCTGGAAGGCTGGTGAACCTTGAACCCATGGCAAGGGTGAGAGTTATGCTCCGATTGTCTAGTCCAGACAATGGGGGCTCAAGTTATTTCCTGACCAAATAGTCTCAGAGTAAATCCTTCTAATATTTACTGACCTTTAAGATAGTCTGTCTATTACCATAATTACCTGATGTGTATCCAAAATTGAATAAAAGGCTGGTGAGGCCTGGTCACCAGTGGACGTCCTTCCCCTTGAGTTGGGCTTGCCCGTCTGGCCCGCAATATTTCTAAATTATTTCTTGTCTCTTTCATTTGCGTGCGGCCCCTCTTCCAGATCCTGAACCCTGTACCACACGGGACATGGGGGAACATACACACCCCTTCTTTGGGCACCCTGAATTTCCCTTATCACACTTTTTCTAACTTGTTGATAGCCTTTGCTCCTCTAGGGTGCAAACAATGCTTGTCTTGCTTCTCTCATGGTTTGACCAAATGCATAAAGGGTGTAACCATTAATGAATTGTATATGCATTCCTCTTAATTGCCCTGGGTACGGGGCTCTTCTTTCCACTGTTAGTGACATAATAAGGAGAAAACCACAAGTAGATGAAGTATGTAGTCAAGAGGAGTAAAGCAAGAGGTAGCTTAGCTAGCTTGTTTTGAAAGGCAAAAGGCAGGGAGATGCTCAGGAGGGGCTTACACAGTGGACAGAGGATACACTCATTGGAAGATGGCATTGGATTAAAAGGAATAAGGACTGGTAGTGTAGAATACAGCACCTCCAGTTCATCTGATCATGGTTGCAAAAAATAAACTAAATGTTATTGGATCTAAGTTGCCTCACTTGTCTTGTTTGACGTAATTGCTATGTAGAAGGAAACTTTTACAGGGAAGTGAATAGTGAGTCAATACGCCAAACACACTACTTTTATTATATCTGAAAAGTCAGTTCTTGGAGACAGTAAAAGGATCAGTGGTTGCCAGGGGTTAGGGGGAAGGGAGGGATGGATAGGTGAAGCAGAGAGGATTTTTAGGGCAGTGAAACTATTCTGTATGATACTATAATGGTAGATACATGTCATTATACATTTGTCAAAGCCCCAGGAATACACTCCACCAAGATTGAACATTAATGTAAACTATGGGCTTGACACTGATCTATCACTATAGGTCCATGGATTATAACAACCATTCTGGTGCAGGATGTTGACAGTGACGAAGGCTGTGTGCCTGTGGGGCAGGAGTGTATGGGAACTCTCTATACATTCTGCTCAGTTTTTCTGTGAACCTAAAACTGTTCTAAAAAATAAAGTCTATTTTTTTAAAAGTCAGTTTTTCTTTACAAACCTCTGAAAAAAATAATGAAAACAAATTACCTTCTTTTGAAAGCGGGAGAACAGGTTTGTCAACTGTTATATTTGGAGGTAAAGCCAGATTCCTACTCTTTGCATGAATAAGTTCCTTAATTTTTTCTCATCAATTTCTGTGCTAGAGGATTTGAAATTATTTCATCTTCTGGTCTGTTAAGAAATAATATGTGAATTTTCCCATTATATACAGGACCAAATTTTCAAATAACAATTTATTAAACTTACACATATATTCCCTAGTTCCAAAAAAGATCTCAGGCAGCTTACAATAAAAGACACAAGTAATAAAATCTGTATATATAAAAGCCAGCCACCTGAACGCTGTAACAACCAGAATGACCGGTTGCTATGATGCCCACTGCAGCAATGAACCTACCCGATGCGGGGGTGGGGTGAGGCCAGCTGGCCAACCTCCTGTGGCCCCTCTCCCCAGCCGCCCCACCCCTGATTGCACACCCCACCCAAATAGGGGGCAGCGCCAGCTGGCCAACCTCCTGCAGCTCCTCCCCTTGGCTGGCCCCACCCCAGATGG